GATAGAGAGATGTTTAGAGAGATAGATAGAGAGATAGATGGAAGAGTAGAGAGATAAAAGAAGAAGAGATAGAGATAGATAGAGTAGATAGAGAATAGAGTAGAGAGATAAAATAGAGAGATAGATGTTTAGAAGATGATAGAGATAGAAGATAGAAAAAGATAGAGATAGAGAGAGAGAGATAGAGAGAGAGAGAGAGAGAGAGAGAGAGAGAGAGAGAGAATGTTTAAATAAAGGTAAGGAAGTTTTCATTGGATTCATTGATTTAGAAAAGGCAAATGATAAGGTGGATAGCGTGGCAGATGTTGCAAGTGTATGGAATAGGTGGAAGAAGTTAGGAGTTTTTATAAGGAAAGCGAGGCTCAAGATAGGGCACATAGGAAAGAAGATTATTTTCCAGTAAAAGTAGAGCTTAGACCTTTTTATTCCCTTATACAAAGGAACTATGCATGATCTCTCTTAATGTTTAGGTACTTACCCTTCTTTCATGCACATATTAATCAAATGCAGCCACTCCATAACTATCCCTACCTCATGTTACCATCTCTGTCTTAATCCTATCTGCTTTACCATTTACATTCTACTCACTGCATCATGTGCTTAAGCAACATTTACCTCTGAATTTTTCCTTATTCCTATTGGACATTATTCCTCCTTACCTCAAGGCATATCAATGCCTCCAAATCATTATCAATTAACTTCTCTATCTTTCCATTACTGCCCCCTTCCCAAGAAACATTTCCCCTCTTTTATTTGAAATTGGCAAGTGCCTCTACTTCCCAGCCTTTCTCAAACTGAACCTTCGTACATAATTAAGAAGTTAACCTATCATTGTTTGGTATCAACACTTACTTGCTTAAGGTAGACTTGAATGATGGCAGAGGCCATGCCAGATTGGACGTCACACATTTCCTTCAAATTCTCCCTGGTTTTCTGCTTAGCCCCTTGTTTAAAGAAATTAACAAAAGTGTTTGTTTGTAAAAATATACAGCACCCTGCATCAGTGTATCTATACAAACTCTAAATAAAAAAAATTATACTATACATACAAGTAGCAGTAGTAATGATATTTATAACATCTTTTGACTGCATAGCTTCCTCAGGGTTCCTAACAATAAAAATTTATGTAAAACACACATTACAACAACAACGATAAAATTAACAAATTCTCCTGTACACACAAAGTAACTTTTCAATAAACATCATTTTGTTACTGTATCTAATTATCCCAATCCCAATGGATGGCACCAATGAGAACAATAAACTAATGTGAGAGGTTTTGGGGGGAGAGCAAAACCCTGGCATCATTGCCATTGTGGTGAAAAATTCCAATAAATCACCTTGGTATGGGGTTCATGTTAGATGCCCTGGGTAAAACTCTAAACTCTAAGTCAAGGATTGGCTTAAACTTGTGTCCATGATAAACCCCAAAAATCTTGATCATTGCATTTGTTTGTCCCCCCCCCCCCCCCCCACACCAACCCATACACCGCCACCCCACACACACACAAATGAAGATGAAATAAAACGTCTAGTTTAATATGAAGGCTTGTTGAATGGTTGTCTAATTAGATAAAGTGGGCATACAACTGATTATAGTTTACTACTGATGTAATAAGAGGTTTACCAAGAGGTTACTATTCCAAGAGTGAGTCACGGAACCCTTCAGTAGTAGTTTTTCATTATTATTTTATTATTATCACACTGGTCGATTCCCACCAAGGCAGGGTGGCCCGAAAAAGAAAAACTTTCACCATCATTCACTCCATCACTGTCTTGCCAGAAGGGTGCTTTACACTACAGTTTTTAAACTGCAACATTAACACCCCTCCTTCAGAGTGCAGGCACTGTACTTCCCATCTCCAGGACTCAAGTCCGGCCTGCCGGTTTCCCTGAATCCCTTCATAAATGTTACTTTGCTCACACTCCAACAGCACGTCAAGTATTAAAAACCATTTGTCTCCATTCACTCCTATCAAACACGCTCACGCATGCCTGCTGGAAGTCCAAGCCCCTCGCACACAAAACCACCTTTACCCCCTCCCTCCAACCCTTCCTAGGCCGACCCCTACCCCGCCTTCCTTCCACTACAAACTGATACACTCTTGAAGTCATTCTGTTTCGCTCCATTCTCTCTACATGTCCGAACCACCTCAACAACCCTTCCTCAGCCCTCTGGACAACAGTTTTGGTAATCCCGCACCTCCTCCTAACTTCCAAACTACGAATTCTCTGCATTATATTCACACCACACATTGCCCTCAGACATGACATCTCCACTGCCTCCAGCCTTCTCCTCGCTGCAACATTCATCACCCACGCCTCACACCCATATAAGAGCGTTGGTAAAACTATACTCTCATACATTCCCCTCTTTGCCTCCAAGGACAAAGTTCTTTGTCTCCACAGACTCCTAAGTGCACCACTCACTCTTTTTCCCTCATCAATTCTATGATTCACCTCATCTTTCATAGACCCATCCGCTGACACGTCCACTCCCAAATATCTGAATACATTCACCTCCTCCATACTCTCTCCCTCCAATCTGATATTCAATCTTTCATCACCTAATCTTTTTGTTATCCTCATAACCTTACTCTTTCCTGTATTCACCTTTAATTTTCTTCTTTTGCACACCCTACCAAATTCATCCACCAATCTCTGCAGCTTCTCTTCAGAATCTCCCAAGAGCACAGTGTCATCAGCAAAGAGCAGCTGTGACAACTCCCACTTTGTGTGATTCTTTATCTTTTAACTCCACGCCTCTTGCCAAGACCCTCGCATTTACTTCTCTTACAACCCCATCTATAAATATATTAAACAACCACGGTGACATCACACATCCTTGTCTAAGGCCTACTTTTACTGGGAAAAATTTTCCCTCTTTCCTACATACTCTAACTTGAGCCTCACTATCCTCGTAAAAACTCTTCACTGCCTTCAGTAACCTACCTCCTACACCATACACTTGCAACATCTGCCACATTGCCCCCCTATCCACCCTGTCATACGCCTTTTCCAAATCCATAAATGCCACAAAGACCTCTTTAGCCTTATCTAAATACTGTTCACTTATATGTTTCACTGTAAACACCTGGTCCACACACCCCCTACCTTTCCTAAAGCCTCCTTGTTCATCTGCTATCCTATTCTCCGTCTTACGGAGAATAGGATAGCATATATGCTGGTGCAAAGTGAAACACATATATACAAGAATTGCTCACATATATACAAGAATTACTGTGACTAAATTTACGTAAGATCTATCTGATCTTGCAATGTCCTTACCGAACACAGCCAGAGAGAAGATTGGCCATGCTCAACTCCTGTTTTATTTAACAAGCAGGGTAATGAAGGATTAAAAGCTAACCTCACACATTACTCTCTCAGGAACTGAGAGAGCAATTAAGTGAACTGCTGAACCTGTGCAGATCGAGCCGTGGGGGCGTTGACCCCCAAAACCCTCTCCAGGATTGGTTCAATGCTTAAGAGTGGTGGAGGCTCAATCATTATTCAGGTAAACTAAGACACACAACTTTTTTCTGAGACATACTTGCTAACAGAGAAAGTACAGTTGGTAAACAGATATAGACATTGCCACATGACAGTCTGAGTTGGTCTGCTAAAAGTTTACAGAGTTTGACAAAAAATAATGTTACACAGCAGATTCACCTAGATGGATTTTACTGCATATCCTAAATACAATGGGCTAACACAGGTAAGACAGTAAACACTGAATAATAATAATAATAATAATAATAATAATATTAATAATAATAATAATAATCATAAAGAACTTTAGAGAAGCATACATCTTTTAGACTACCCTAGTCACTTTTTTTTTTTCAACAAACTGGAGGTATCCCACAGAGGCAGGGTGACCCAAAAAGAAAAACCAAAGTTTGTCTTTTTAAATTTAGTAATTTATACAGTTACTATCCCCTTGCTCCCAATATTTTAGTTGCCTCTTAAGACACACATGGCTTACGGAGGAAGAATTCTGTTCCACTTCCCCAAGAAGATAAAAGGAAATAAACACGAAAAATAACTACAGTAGACCATCATTTAGCATGAGTTTATTTGGCACAATTCAGGTATAGCACAATTGAAGAATTGCGGCACAATTTTATGTAACACATCGCAAAATTAATTTAACACGGTTCAGTTTACGGGAAGGAAAAAAAAATTCCCTTTTCCTCAAGCAGCTGCCTTGTTGTGGATCAGCGGAGACCTCCTGCCACCCCCAATACCACCCAAGCAATCCAGCATTCGTACTTCATACGTGTCCAGTCCAGTCTTTCTTTGCTACAAGCTAGCTGTGTTTGTGAATTGTGTTTCGATCTTTTAATTACTATATCTTGTATCTGTCAAGCAATCATGACACCCAGTAGGTAAACCAGTGTTGCTGAAAGTGGCAAGAAAAGGTATAAGCATTTAAGTCTTAGAATAACGAAGAAAATGAAGATATCAGACAAAAGATAACCTGTGGTGTATTGAAGTGTTACTTTGTACACATAAAAACAGGTAAACATAAGTTTGTGTGACTGACTGACTTGTATAAATAGTTTATTGACTTGACTGAATAACTTACTGACATGACTGAATAACTTACTGACATGACTGAATAACTTACTGACTTGACTGAATAACTTACTTGACTTATTGACCTGACTGACTGAATGAATGACTCAACTGACTGAATGGCTTGACTGACTTACTGAATGATTTGACTGACTGAATGACTTGTCTGGCTGAATGACTTGACTGACTGAATGACCTGACTGACTGAATGACCTGACTGACTGAATGACCTGACTGACTGAATGACCTGACTTGACTGACTTACTGAATGACTTGACTGATTGACTTACTGATCTAATGACTTGACTGGCTGAATGACTTGACTGACTGAATGGCTTTACTAACTGACTGATTGACTTGACTGGCTGACTGAATGACTTAAAAGTTAGACAACCATTGAAGTCAGTACCAGAACCTCTACCATCCACCTCAGCCCAGTAGGGCCACAACATAACTCGACACTCTCTTCACAATCATCCACAAACACCAGCACCCACAATTTAAGGTAAGAAATACTATTATTTCTGTTACAATTGTAGTCTTAAGCAGTAAAAACAACATAATACATCACAACAATGAACTACAATTACATATTCACTTTTATTTTTGTAAGATGTGGAGGCCTAAAAAAAAAGTTGTTTGGCTTTTTTGGGGCTCTCAGGAACATAACCCTATTTTCCCATAAGTTCTTCAGTTCATCTAACAAAAGTTTTACCTAGCACGGCATTTTTCAGGAACGGAGCTATCGTGTTAAATGATGGTCTACTGTATTAAGAAAACAGACGAAAACCCAGATGGGTATGTATACGTATGCACATACGTGCAAGTATAGTGTGACCCAAGTGTAACTAGAAGCAGCAAGATATACCTGGTAACTTGCGTGTTTTATCTTAGTAATTTCTGCTGGTTAGCCCTCTGACTGTCGCAACCCCAAATCCTCTCTCTCCTGGTGTCACAAAATATTTTGAAAAAAAAAAAAAAAAAAAAAAAAAAAAAAAAAAAAAAAAAAAAAAAAAAATCTTATGAAATGATAGAGAATCTTTTCCTGATGGTAATGACACCAAGCTCCTCTCTTCTATGTGTGGGTTATTTGTGTATCGTTCCAGTCACGGTATTGTGCCTTTTTTTTTTTTTTTGTTATTTGACACCAAAAGTATGAAATTTTATGGAAAACTTACAGAATTAGGCTCTCGCAAAGTTAGCGACCTCGGCAATATTTACGAATCCGCGATTTCGCCCACTTTGAGCCCTATTTTCGGATAATTCCATTGTTCCAGTCAACCAAACTCATAAATATTTCTTTAGAACTCCATTTGTTCTATCGATTGAGTACAAGAAACTGCCCATTTACTGATTTCAACTA